TTTTGTTGTATTAATAATTAAAATTAAAATAGTAATTTAAATTTATTGTTATTTAAAAATAAACACACTTTACGTATTAATTATTTGAGGCCAATTTAAATTTTTACCATTTTTTTCTTACTATCTTTTTTTTACCGTTAAATTAAATTCAAATCAACGGTTCTAAAGAACTCAATATTTAATTAAACTCAATAGATAAATCAATAGATCTCACACCCTTATCTTACGTATACAACTGCCTCAAGTATCTCATAGATCTCACACCCTCATCACACTTGTCCATGTTTATCTATAAGCAAAAAAAAACAAAAAACAAAAACACACGAGAGCATTGCAACGTAAAAAAAAAAAAAAAAACCAAAAAGAATGATTCAATTCTCAAATCTTTGTGTTTTTGTGAGAACAAATTGAATATGGGTTCTGCAACAATATTATATCGGAGTTGAAAAAAAATATTGTGAAACTCGAGTTTCTACGTACAAATAGAAAGGATGGTAGAAAAGTAAATGTAAAAACGATACGAAATGTAAAGTTTTTACTTTATATTACTTAAAATCAATATACAAAATTATATATATGCATGTAAAAAAAATTACATAATAAACATGTGTTGAACCACTTATCTATCTAAAAAGGAAAATTATTTTTGATAACCAAGTATTAAAATTATAAACAGTGATGACTAATAAGTGATGAATAATCAATCTGCTCTAACTGCTTCATACACTCTGCAGATTTGGATCATCGCTTATCAGGATATAATTCCACTTCTTTCAATGCACATAATGATCCAAAAACACAAAACGATTTTCGTAGCATAACTTATAATAGAATTACAGTTTTATAAGACATAATTATAAAAGATATATATCCAAACAAAAAGATATCAAGATACCATGCATATTATTTGGGAAAAACGAAAATTGAGTTTTCTTTTAATTTGTTTTTTGTAAAAAAATGTAAGTTTTTACCGTTTTTACACGGTGTTTTTATCAATTTTTATTAAAAACCATTTTTACTTGTGTTTAAACACACATAAAAACGTAAAAACGTAAATTTTTATATTTTTATACTAATTTTTGACAACAATGGTTTGCACATGTCAATTATCTTATCTGTGCTTTTTTTTTTTTATCTATGATATACTTGAAGCAGCTGGGATCTCCAATTCGAATTTATCCGTTAGATAAGGGTATGATATCTATTAACTTATCTATTTAGTTTAATTAAAAATTGAGTTATTTTGAACCATTGATTTGAATTTAATCTAACAGTGAAAAAGAGGTAGTAAAAGTAATAAGAAAAAAATAGTAGGCAATATAACCACCTCTAATTATTTTAAGGCTATGCAAGTTCAATTTGTTTTTATTTTAAAAATTAAGTGTTCCAACTCTAATGCGGTTATTTAGCAAGTCTGTCAATGGCCAAGTCCTTGGTGGTAAAATATTCGAGAATTTAAAAAGATAATATTGCGCAGGAAATTGCTAAATGTTTTCGTCCAAACAGAGACGAATCTATGTGCATGATATAGCCTAATAAGCTTTCAAGAATTTTTTATTTTTTTGTGTGTGTGGTAATAATGCATTAGTTTATCATATTGCACCAATAGTTTAGTCAACTTTTACTTAATATTATTAAGTCACTAAAACAGTTATAATTTATGGAAATAATTTCAATAATAATATGTACTTATTTAAATAAAAAATTCGCTTTCCTTTTGCCGGAGAGACTAGGACAGATGCCCTTCAACCAGAAGTATTTGTCTTTTGAAAAGTTGTTATTAGACTTTTTTTATACAAATTATATAAAATAAACTAATTAATAACTAACATATTTTTATTCTTACATTAAATAATTATATAAGTTATTGTACTACATAATTATTCTATATTTAAAGTAATCATAAATCGTGTATAAAAAAAAGTATTCATAAATCAATTATTAATTAGTTTCATTTACACAATTTTTTTTTAATAATTAAAATTTTAAGTGGAGTTAGACACCAGTATCTAATTAGGGTAAGGAAAAACCCTCCAACCTATTTAAGAATTTTCAGGAGAGATTACATATCATCTATCAACAAAATCCTAACTAGAGTTTGAACCCACACCCATGTGTATGTAAATGTCTATGTGTAACTTATCTAAAATTTAATGGGTATGGCCATTAAGATAATGACACTTATTATATAGTTAATTCTGTTAAACTTATATCTTACATAAAACTTATTGACGGAGATTTATTTTGGATTGAGCATCCAATGGACCAATACATATATTATTAGCAAAGCATCTGTTTGTAGGGGACTAGAGAGGTATCTTTTTGAAACCCAGATGAATATTTTGTTGCTTTATGACAACGACTAGAAAACAGAGGTGAATGCACTAGAAAAAGTTCCAAGAAACCGAAAAGTTAGTTCTTCATATACCGGCAAAAGTTGCCCCACCCCTGGATAATAACATGACACCAAACGAAGGTCGACACCACTGATCAAGCTGTCATGTTTGAGAAAGGAAAAGGAAGAAGAGGCAGAAAAGTCATAGACAAAGTTAAGAATTAGCTTACATGCATGAGCAGCCAATAATAATGTAGCAAGGTGCCCGTGAGTGAGTGAGTGAGCCATGATACTTGAATTGCGCTTTCCGTCTTGAATCGCAAATAATTACCCTAATCAACGAGGCAATTTAGGGAGTGGGATGCACAATTTACCTTAATTTAATATGTTACGTTACGTGTATCTCACCACCATCCTTACTTCGTAGTGTGGTTGCCATGTGCAATATTGTTTTGATCTCCCCATCGCCAACAGAATTTGAATCATAAGCCTAGCTAATCATACCCGTGTAAAACGGCTAAAAATAATCAAATCCTTACAAATGGTTTTATACTAAAAATCACCCACGGGTGATACCTACATCAATTAAATCAGTTTTTATTTTTATTATTATTATTATTATTTTAGGGAAAGGTTATAGTTACTACCTCTTATTGTTACTACTAAATCGTAACCGTTGATTTTCGTCAATCTAACGGTTATAATATATTGAAAATTAATAATTAATTAATAAGTATGACCCAATAAATTATAATTGTTAGATTGACGGAAATCAACGGTTATGATTTAGTAGTAACAATAAGAAGTAGTAACTATAACCTCTCCCATTTTTTTAAAGAAGAAGTACAATACAAAATTATGACTTATATATTATTGAGTAAATACCTTTTTGGTCCTTAGCAAATTTTACGATACCCGCTTTAGTTCCTAGCAAATAAAAAGATTCATCGTGGTCCTTAAAAAATTTAAAATGGACCCATTTTAGTCCTTTAAGGGACTAATATGGGTCTTTTTTAAATTTGTGAGGGACCACGATTTCAACTAAATAGGTCCATTTTGAATTTTTTAGGAATCACGATGGGTCTTTTTATTTGCTAGGAACTAAAGCGGGCATCGTGAAATTTGTTGAGGACCAAAAAAAGGTATATTTACTCTATATTATTCAAAGTTCTCACTAGCCCATCTTAATGTTTAACCAGAGCTTATTAAATAGTTATTTTGTTTTACTTTTTATTGGCTAACAAATAGTTTTCTTGATTAGGTGTGATAACTTGAAGAGCTTAATTAGATATATTATTTTTTTTATACCGATCCAAATTATTTCTTTGAGGCATGGTCGGTTTCTCTGAGTATTTCACAAGCTTCAACTTTTTGATTGAACTATGAGACTAATTTTAAGTCGGGGCTTAGTCATAATTATACTATTAATGTTAAAACTTTTTACCTATATTATCACATATTTAATGAGTTTGACAATTTGTGTTATTAAACTCATTAAATGATGTAATGACTAAATGACAATATAAAATCTTTTTATATTCATTATACATGCAAGCTAAATTATTATTTAAAATAAGAAAATATATAATTTCCCCTTAAAATGCAACAATACAATTAAGGATATTCCTTTAATTAATGCCTTTGATGAAATGTGAAAAAAAATAAGGATTTTCTTTTTAATCTTTATCTTTTCCTTCACAACTAGTAAATTTTTGGGTACAAATTATACGAAAAAAGTCTTATAAACCACTACAAGAAAATTTGTATTTAGAGGCGGTTTTTTAAGCATTCAGAGGCGGTTTAAACCGCCTCTGAATGCCAAGGAAGACGGTTTCAAAACCGTCGAGTTTACCACCGTCGAAAGGAAATCTAAGGCGGTTTTACTAAACCGCTGGTATCACCGCCTTCAGTAATTCAAAGGCGGTTCACTAGGCGGTTTTTGGGGCCTCAATTATCAGAATAAGATTCTATTTGGAATTTAAAGGCGGTTTAAAGGACCGCCTCAGAATTCATATAGAGGCGGTTAGGTATTATTCTGAGGCGGTAAGAGAAGCGGTTATAAGCGCCTTAGTAATTAGCTTAAAGACTTTCTGAGGCGGTTATATTAACCGCCTCAGAATGTAATTCTGAGGCGGTTGTAATAACAGCCTCAAAATGTAATTCTGAGGCGGTTTGTTTGACCACCTGATTAAATAATCAAACGCCTGGGTAAGGCTTAGATACTCTTCCTAGGCGGTTTGTTCACTGCCTCTAAATGACATTTTGAGGCGGATTCATTTGCTAATAAACCGCCTCCATTAGAGTTGTGACATTCTCATATTATTTTGGTTTATTACCCGCCAAAATATATGAAATTAATATTTTTTATTTTTTATATATTTGTTATATTTTTGTTAATGTAAGGTTACTTATAAAAATACATTGTGCATTTAATTATTTTTTTCTAATGATGTAATAATTAAATTGTTGCATTTGATCATACATAACCATACAATTTTAAAAGCCCTCAATTAAAAGCATAAGATATATAAATTCTTCACAAGTTTAAAAGTGAATATTTGCATACATTATCCAAAATATATTAAACAACGTATAGACAAAGTCTCAACTGTTATGCAAAAAACCTTGAACAAATCCCTATAATAATGACAACAACACTGTCCAAAATCAACGTCTAAATAAAATATTTAAGGTTGTGGTGGTGGAGGTGGAATATGAGGTGATGAATCTGGTCCTTCACTGTGTGGGTTATGACTAGCATGAGAAGATCTTCTGACTCCTGGAGAGCCCAAATCTGTAACCTGATACATTGAAAAAAAGAAAAACATACATCAAATGCTACATCAACCTGATTCCCTCAGTGCAAACTCTTACAGTCTCAACATCTTATACATTATAAGAGTGCAAAAGTGTACATCAGAACTCTTAAATTTATAATTTATGAGGAATATCTTTTCCAACAAAATAATTTCATTTACATATTAATGCAAACTTTACATCAAAGCATCTTAGCAAATTCAATGTATCCATCTCATGTATGAAAACATAAAGGAGTTTATGAGAAAGCCTTTCATTCACAATTTAAAAAATTCAAAAAGGAACCAAACAAGGTTGATCAATGGAAGAAAGCTAAGAGGGATTTGGCAACATTAGCTGGTTGGGATGTCAGGAATAAGTAAGTTTCTTATTAACAAATTTATATCCATTATTTATTTGCTTATTTTCTTAGTTTATAATTTAAAGATCTTATTATTTCCACTCTCTTTCAGGCCAGAGTTTGAAGAAATTAAAAAAATTGTTCTCGAGGTAATAAAAACATTGGATCATAAATTCCCAGGGTTTGTTGATGACATTATTGGGATGCAACCTCATGTAGCAACATTAGAAAGCTTTTCAATGTATACTTTGAACCATATGTCCTCAACACTGGACTATTTAAACAAAATGCAAATGTATACACAGTGACTATTTAATTAAAATGCAAATGTACCAATTCTTTAAATAATTGCAAATTCCTTAACACTGGACTATTTAAACATTTCAGCCTCCAAATTAAAATGACTTTGTTATCAAGAACAAATAATATCAAAAAAATTGATAGAATGAACTTTGTGAACCATCTGGTAGTACCTCAAGTATACACAGTGATACCTAAAGTAATATGAAGAACACATATTTATGACACAAATTCATAGAATGCAGCAAGTGTCCAACCAAGATCCCAAATAAAGTAATATTGCCAAAATGAGATTCCCAAAACAAAGCCCACGTTCTCTAATCAAGTGATATACATGACTTATAATCCCTACAAGCTGTAACCATATCAACATCCCAAATTTATCAACAACAAAAGCAGTCACCATTCCAGAGCAATGATATGAAACAAAGATATATGCAAATAACGTTTAATACAAAAAAACTTAAATGACGTCAATGAATAGCCAACAAAGAGTGAACCTACTCTAATACAAAGTATCTATTTGATTATGACCCAAGATTTACCTCATTTATACGAAAATTTTGTTGAGCAACCATTTGTTGCATAATTGATGTCATTTGTGCTTTCAAGGTATCAAGTTCTCCCATTTTCCCTTTCAAAGTGTCGAGTTCCTCTTTGAGAGAATCATATTCCTCTTGCGAAGGACCAGCATTAGAAGATGATGCAGAATCGCGAGAACGCTTACGCATTTGAGTTGGAACCACCCCGAACCCCATTCCTCTAACGCGTCCAGGGTGCTCCTTACCAAAGACACGTTCATAGGCTTCATCTTCAGAAGATGTTTCCTCCATCTCTGCTAATAATTGGTCCTACAATACAACATCAAACATTTAATCAAAACAAACTGTAGAGCTTCCTCATTCACAAAGAAAATACATACATTCTTGGTTCTAGCTTCCTCATGGACAAAGTTGCCATCCCTTTTTATGTGTGAAATGGCGTACATCTCCCCCCTACTAAATTTGCGTCCATATTTTTTTTCCTAAAACAATGTCAGTAAACTAAATGTTAGTTAAATTCATAGCAGATCAGAGTTAGATAGAAAAAGATTGTAATTAGCATAAATACCAGGTCATATTTTAAACTTGCAAGGCTTTTTGATCCAAGGGTATGCATAATCGTTTGTTTTGCTCTATTTCTAGTGTTTATCTCACTGTATTTCTGCATTGTCCAGCAAAACATTCTTGATATTAGGTCAATTAAACCAAATTAAAAAAAAATGCAAGCTTATGTCATTACCTTGGCTTTATCGCTTAACTTATAGGCCAAAAAACCAGCCCATTGTTCTCGAGTCAAACCTTCAGGATAGTTTTCCAAGTTTTGATCAAAACTTGCATTTTTGTTATAATAATAGGAGCATAACCTCCACCTATTGTCCTTCCATTTCTTTCCCATATTTGCCATACAATATTCATAGTGGTCATCATGATGGAGCTGAAACTTTTTCTGTAATACAAAAAATATGCATAATCACTTCACAATAATTTAAGCTTAGTAAAGGAAAATCAGAGAGCATTTATACCTGAATGGTCTCCCAAGCAGTAGTCTTATACGAGGGAAGTACACTAGGCCACCTATCAAAATATATTGGAAATACATTAGTGTTACATGCAAGATGTCCTAAAAAACCATTCAATAGTGAGCCGCCATCAGCAACAGGCTGATTCTCTTCACTCCATAGCACCACCACTTTCTTGTGTTCAGCAAGTACCAAAACATCCCTGACGCGCAATTTTTCCTCGGTTGTCCTTCCTTGATCATCTATAACAAATAATATTCATGTGATTTTTGTTAGTGGAATAATAATATATGACATAGGCATACATAAAAAAATTAATAATGTAATATATATGTTAAATGGTGTACCTATGACATCAACCAGCCAATATTTGTTGCAAACCCTCTTGGCCTTGTAGGAAGGTGGCCTTTCATTTTGTTGTTGGGAATCACCTGAAACTTGAGCTTGTTGGCCTTCCATTTCATGGGGCTGTTGTTCCACCCCTTGAATAACATTTTCTAGGCTCTCAGTGGGATGTACATTTTGTGTTTCGTGGGTAGGCGTTGTAGAGCTTGTTGAAGCTTTTCTTGCAGCGAATCTCCTTGTACGTGCCATTTCACCTAATCCATTTGTCGAAAATATAACATGGAAACATATATTGAAGTATTTAAAAATCATCTAATTCCAATATGTACTGGAAAAAGTTCATAGTATTTTAACATTAAGAAATTAATTGCAAATATCAAGTCCTAAGCAACAATAACATACAAACAAAACGTATGTCCTAACAAAAACTACACAAAACACACCTTATAAAATCCAATCCTAAAAAACCAACTGACACAACCCTATATAAGTAGACATAACCTAATCCTTAAACAAAAAATTCATATGTCCAAATCTTCATCGTCATTGTGATTAGCTATCAAATTTGAAGTGTTATCATCTGTGGCAGGTCTTGATAATTGTAGAGCTATTGTGTCATCAACTAAAAGTTGGTCCAAGTTTTGTGATGGAAATAGGTCAGTGGTTGTCATGATATCTTCGCCCATATCATACAAGTCTCGAGGCTTTACATGGATAGGTATGCTCCAACCCTTTTCTTTCTCATCATCAACATAAAAAACCATTTGACCTTCAGAAGCTTTAATATAGGGCTCATCATCCATTTAGTATTTGGCCATTTCCAAGAAGAAGTGAAGCAGGGTACCTTCTGTCTGTGCTGCAGGCAGCAACACTCACACTCCAGGGAATGAATGACACTAAAGTTGAAGGTGATGGACCCTTATTCCCTGCAGCTTGCACCACAAAAACTCCTGTTTTTCGTGCAAATAATAGTGAAATATCAAACAGGCTGAAGAAGGTTAATGTGTCTTTTGGCGGTTCATCAGGTCCAACTGAGAGTGTTAAGATATCCACCCCATCCTGGACAGCCTGCAGAAATCAAACAAGCTAGGGAGTATTAGTAGCTATTCTAGCTTTCCCTGAAGCGTTGCAGATACAGAATTGTCCCTTCTCTCTTTGAAACATTCTGGGTTTCTTACGTGATTTCCTTTTAAGCCCATTTTTTATATGTTTTTTGAGTAGCCTTTACTACTTTAGTAGACTAGTACTAATATAATGTGATTTAACTAGCAAGTTCATAAATTTTCCACCAAATAACTTGTCATGTTGTCAATAGCTAGCCCACAAGCTAGTTTTGTCCATTCCTGAAATATTATTCCTTCTTCCTTTTACTATTCAAAGGGGAAATGATGGTAAGTATTGTTGAATATTTCATTACTTCCTAAAATATCTTATTTCTTTATGTTGTTGGGTAACTTGCTGAAGAGAGTAGATGCAAATATATATAATGTAACAGAAAAAAATGAAAATGAAAATAATAAATTAAGTATATATGCCAAGGTTGGAACTATCACACGCGATGAATGCCTTGATATGAGTATGATGAATGCCTACAAGTGCATTCAGAAACCCTAGGGAACCGAAAGCACCAAGAATCAGAAAATATAACAAGAAAAATAAAAAAAATACTTTCAGAAGCAAAACGAAACAAATCAGACCGACAACATCGTAATAGCCAACGAAATTAAGAACAAGAAGAAAACAAGACAACAAAGATGTTTTTGGGGGTTAGGGTTTGGGTATTACCTGATGCTTGTATAAGTCTTAGAGCTTCTTGTTCTTGTAAGCTTCCCTTAACGCCGTCTACAACTTCTAAGAAATCACCATTAAAGAAAGCATATAAGCGTTAAAGAAAAGAGAGCATAAACACAAACACAAACACAAACAGAGAGAAGAGAGTATAAGAGTCATTTTTACACCACCGGTGGTGACCTTAGTGAGGGAGAAAGGCAAGCTCGGCCTTGAGGTCCTTCAACAAAAAGCTATTAGGGCAAATTCAGAGAGAAGAGAATATAAGCGTTTAAGAGTCGACAATATACTTAAAACAATTTTCGCAAGGAGGGAAACAAGTCTGCCCAATGAGATACAATTTTCGAAAGGAAAATGTTTTAAATAAGATACAAATATTGCAAATCGATATTGCATTCTAAAGTTGGATTGGTGGTTTAATCGCAAACGCTCAACCACGTTGGTGCGGGTTCGAATCCTGGCAAAAAAAATTTAGTATAATCAAAATTTTTAATTTTTATTTTCCTAATTAATAATAACTTTTTATATTTTTTTAATTTAAATCATAAATCAAATATATATTCTTTTTTTTTAAATTAAAAATTACAAAACTATCTACCAATCTGCCCCTCTTTAATCGATTATTTTGAAGATTTAATCGATTAAATGGTCAAAATTGAAAAAAATGGTTGAATTTTGAATTTTAAATTTAATATAATAGGAGTTGATTACGATTTGTATTTAATAGGAGCTGATTACGTCCTATTAAATACAAAACACAATCAGCTCCTGTTAAATACAAAATGCAATCAGCTCCTATTAAATACAAATCACAATCAACTCTGGCGTACATTAAATTCAAAATTCAAATAACCTCCAATACACGAAAAACTGATTGAAGATTCTGCTAAGTATTTTTATGATGAATATGCAAGACGAGAAGGGTTCGTTGTTCGCTCAGTTCATGTAAATCAATCCAGTTTCCAAGAATCGTTTTTCTTTCGTTGGTTTCTTTGTTTGTTTGGTTATCTATGCTTGTTGATTTGCTTCATATGCATGGAATTTCCTTCACACACACACACACACACACATATATATATATATATATTATTCATGGGTTAAATTTAAAAACTCTATTGCATATCAACAAATTAAAGATTTACATAAACTATATTATATTCATCTACGAATGATTTAAATATTGTAATGCATATTAATAAAGATTCATCCCACCTAGGTAAATATAAACTCGTTCGGATGAGTTTTTTTCAACTCCAAATTTATCCCAACCCAACCAATCTTATCGCCAACACCTATACCACAGTCGCCACCAACACATTGTCACCGTTACCATCTCACCATGCGACCACCACTACATCATCATCGCCGCCACCATCGTCACTACCACCCTCCCACCACCTATACGACATCATTGTTGCCGCCACCCCCCAAAACCATGCACCATCGGCCTAACCGCTTCGGCTACAACATCTACCACAACTAATTTTGCCCCCATGATTTGTTTTTGCATATCAATTTTAATAATTTTATACATTAAAAATTAATTTTATTTTTAACTTCCAAATAGTTTATTTAGTTAAAAGATTTTCCTTAGTACTACACTGAAATGATAAATAGCTCTAAACTTAAATTGTAAGGAAAATTATTTTTTTAAAAATAATTTTATAAATTAAACATAGTAACTTTTGAATCAAAGCAACTAAACTTACGATTAAATAACACGAGATAATTATGTTATGTCAATTATCAATTACATAAATATGAAATGCGAAAAATATGGTAAAAAATATGAAATAGATATATAATTACAATATAAACATGAACTATAAATATTTATCTTTAAAAAAAATCGCCTCCAAAATCGCCTCCATATCCGCCTCTATATGAATATATATAACCTAAAAAACGCCTCCACAACCGCCTCTAATTGAACACAAGGAGGCGGTTTGACACATCCGCCTCAGTATATCATTATTTTTTAGGCGAAGTTGAAAAACGCCTCTACAACGGCCTCTATATGTCTAATTTGGAGGCAGTTTTAACATAACCGCCTCAGTATTTATTCAATATTAAGGCGGTCTGTTAATGCGCCTTCAAAACCGCCCCTATATGATATTTGGAGGCGGTTTAGTTCAAACCGCCTCAGATAAACCGTCGGTATCTACCCATTTTCTTGTAGTGAACAAAGGGTTTTATATTTCTCCAGTGTTACAGGAAAAATATGGTCTCATGTTAGTGACACACACAAAAAAAGTTGGTCCCATAAAATTAAAAAAGTAAATAAGGGAAGGGAGAATTTCGATGATAAAAGCAGGAAGATAATAAGTTGGTTTTCAGTGTGATAATTTTATGTAATTTAAAATGACAAATAATAACTCTGTGTCATTTAAAATGATAAATATTTTTTCTAAATGTTATATATATATAGAGAGAGGTAGGATCCTTTGACATCAGTGTCAAATTTTTTGATAGTCGTTAGATTAAAAAAATCAATGGTATCACATGTTTGCAAATCAAAATCGTTGATCTTTTTTGATTTAACGGCTCTCAGATGAGGTGTCAAATTTGAAATTTGACACTTGTGTCAAAGGATCCTACCTCATATATATATATATATATATACATATATATATATATATATATATATATATATGGGAAAAATATTTCTCAACCTGCTTGAGATAAATTTATCTCCGGCTACGTCGTTTTGATTATTTATTTCTTTATATGTATTGATTCACTTTTGAATGATCATGATTCTCCTTTTCTCTCTCTTCCTTTATCACCGTTAATCCATCTTTGTATGGTTATGATTTAGTAGCCGAAAATAACTTTCCGACAGCTTGAGAAATGATAAGTACATATATATATATATATATATATATATATAGACACACACGTGGGCACACACTCTACATTACTCTTATCTATATCATTTCATATTAACGTGTTTTTTTTTTTTTTTTTTTTGGTAAATACATATTAACGCCTTTTATGTCATCACATGTGGTCCATACAAATTTTAAATTTGAAGGCAGCGCACGGCCTATAATTCTATCCGAATCATAGCAAAAGGAGAATTAAGCACCACTATAATAAATGGCAGTACATGCATTATGGACCGTGTCTCTACAGTCAAATTAAAGCTTGTGCCAGTAACAGATTAACTTTCAAATGAGGATGAAATTCTTGATATGCGAGTAAAGATTCCTGTATGGCTGTATCATTGCACTTCCCGATATACTATATAAGTGATATACGCGTATGGTGGCTCTGCTTACTCAAAACTCACATATTATCTTCTACAAGCTCTGTTGATTTTGTTAATTTATCAAAACTTGGTGAACGTTAATGGATGCTTCTCGTTCTCAGGACACCCAATTTTTTCTTTTAAATATTTTTGCATGTGTTTTATTCATTTTTTTATTTTAAAATTTTCCCCCAGCCCAATTTTTTGTTTTTCTCCTTCGCCCATCTCAGATAAGCTTTTCTGTTTTCACTTTAAATGTAGGGTTTTATAAGAGTTATGTTATAAGAAAAGTAATTGTGTAATGTTATAGAAATTCGTTCTGCGTGTCGTAGTTTTTTTTTTTTTTGCTTCAAAAAATGTGGATCCCACAAAATATTGTGTGGGTAGAAAATTTTCTTGTGTCACGTGAAATGATAAATGCAAATCCTTTAAATGTATATTTCAACCGCAGTGTATCATACTAAAGTGCTACTAATGTATTAAAAAAAAAAGTGCTACTAGGTGTCTGGGACCGCCAAACAACCAAACTGGTAAGTACACTTTATTCCTGTTACCTACGGGAGGCCAAGTAACCTTACGTGCATACCACTACAATTTTTTCTTGTGCAAGATGTCAGCATGCCCTTGTTCTACGGTATACTATAGGGATGTGTTTGGCACAGGAGAAATTTTTTGGTGACCGGGAATCATGATTAATGAGAATTCAGTAGAAATTGAGTTTACTTGGAATCTTACGAAAGATGTGTTTGGTTCGCCAAAATATTACCGGAAATACTGGGTAAAAATTACTGATTCCATATTTGGTTTAGAACGAAATATGACTTGGAATATGAGGTTATTTTACAAAAATAACCCCAAACTATTTTTACTTTTGTAATTGATAGATTGGGTCTAGATTTTTATGTGTATTGGGGTATTTTTGTCTCAAAATTTATTGTTGTGCTTTTCTTTTACTTGGTATTCTGATTGGTATTCCGAATTACCATATTATTTTTGGTAATCTGAATAGTGACTTTTCTTTATAAATCAAATTACCGGTAATCCTTGGATATCCGGGAATCGTAATTTATTCCTTCTACCAAATATGGTAATTACATTTACCAAAGAAAGATTACCGATAATCCTCTCCAAAAACTTGAACCAAACACCCCTGGATGTCTTAACAACAAGGTCCACATATTTTTGGAAATTGGGAATTCGGGATTCAAACCAGGCCCAATCCCAGTCCTAATGCGAAGCATTTGATTTGGACAAAATTAGAGCAACTCTATAAATGAAACGATGGCGCAGACAGAACCAACCTCGCTAGGGTCTCCTTTTTTATTGCCATCAATTAACATAGAGTCCCTTTCAAAGTGTATCATTCTTCTATTATTATTATTCAAAATTCACTTTCTTTCCCGTAGAAAAAAGGTAAAAAAGATTCTAATACAACTGGCTCGTGACACCGACAACTTTCATAGCTCGTACAGTAAAATATGCCCCCTCCCCCTTCATTCCACTTAAGCCATCATTCACTCCCACTCTGCATTTTATAGTCCTTCTTTGTTTACCTCCTCCAACAGCAAAAACTGCAAATGGCTCAGCTTAGTCTTACAATTGTCTGGTTACTCTTCTTAAGTCTGTACCTTTGTGCATGTCCTACTTCTGCCCAGCTAAGTCGACACCACTATGCCACAACCTGCCCCAATGTTGAAAACATCGTCAGAGAAGCGGTTAAAAAGAAATTCCATCAAACATTTCTCACTGTTCCTGCTACCATTCGTCTCTTCTTCCACGATTGCTTTGTCCAGGTAACAATCAGGTGCATGCATTTGATGTCGTGTCTCCTTACAAATGTTGAAAAGTAATTAATAAATAGAACCCTCTATTGATGTTTGTGTTCAGGGTTGTGATGCTTCACTTTTGGTAGCATCGACGGCACACAACAAAGCAGAGAAGGATCACCCTGACAATCTTTCATTGGCCGGAGATGGGTTTGACACGGTGATCAAAGCAAAAGAAGCAGTAGATGCTGTTCCGTTGTGCAGGAACAAAGTCTCATGCGCTGATATTCTCGCCATGGCAACCCGGGATGTTATTGCACTGGTTTGTTCATGAATAACATTGATTCTAATTCCTGTGAATTGATGAAAATTGCATCTTTATGACTAATTAGGAACTTCATTGAAATTAATGAAAATTGCATTTTCAGGCTGGTGGACCCTACTATGAGGTTGAATTGGGAAGATTTGATGGGCTAAGATCAAAAGCTTCAGATGTACATGGGAGGCTCCCTCAGCCAGACTTCAACTTGAACCAGTTGAATTCCCTGTTTGCGGCAAACGGGCTTACTCAAACCGAAATGATTGCCCTCTCAGGTAATGCGCGTGCTTCACACTTTCCAATCAAAAGGTGCCAACCAAATAATTATAGACGGGTGCCATCAGACATGATCTCTGTTCCCTTGTGAATACCATTATTACTTTTGAAAAATATTCCCGAAATTTTAATATGCTATGTTTAAAGTATCATTAAAAGTACGTCTTATTATTAATTCATTCATTGTATAGGTGCTCACACCGTTGGATTCTCCCATTGCAACAAGTTCACGGATAGAGTATATGATTACAAGAGTAAAAGTCGAGTGGACCCTACATTGAACTTGCAATACGCAGTAGAGCTGAAAGCAATGTGCCCTAGGAATGTGGATCCAAGGATTGCTATCAATATGGACCCAACCACTCCTAAGAAATTCGACAATGTTTATTTCAAGAATCTTCAGATGGGGAAGGGCCTCTTCACCTCAGACCAAGTCCTCTTCACGGACCGAAGGTCCAAGGCCTCAGTAAATGCATTTGCACGAGATAGCAAAACCTTCCATGCCAATTTCGTTGCTGCCATGACCAAATTGGGCCGAGTTGGAGTCAAGAATGCACGCAATGGGAACATTCGTACCCATTGTTCCGTGCTTTAATTTACTGGTGGATTACTTTCAAATTAAGGGAATACGTTTGGTGTACATGTGTTTTCCTTTATGTTTAAAACCGTAAGTTCTGAAAGTAGATAATTTCTCTACTGCATGAATCCTCTGTTTTTTTATTTTTTGTCAATTTAATTTTTTTTCCTTTCAATTGTTTGCTTGGGATAATGAACTTGTTTCGCAACGAATATGGCAGCATAACCGATACCTATTATTACAGGTTTAACCAATACAACTGCAGGTAACAAAACTAACTAATCTCCGTAATTAATGGAACGGCTAAAAACTAACTCCACTTCAGCTATACAGTTACTGCGTCAGTGTGAGTGAAGTGCATCAACTGCATCAATGTGTTCAACTCCATCCGTGTGTGCATCAGTGTGTTCAACTCCATCCGTGTGTTTTGTATCCTTCAACCCCCCCCCCCCCCCACAAGCTGGACGGTGAATATCACGAAGACCAAGCTTGGCAATGATGGAAAAATAAGAGGCAGGATGCAAGGATTTAGTGAACACATCGGCAAGTTGATTAGAAAAAGCACACAGGAAAAAGCCGTAATAAACCAGCCTGAAGCTTGTCACGGGTGACATGTATGTCGATTTCAATGTGCTTGGAACGCTCATGCAACGTTGGAATTTGGCAAGGTAGATGGCAGAAACGTTATCACAGTAAACGTGAGCAGCAGTGGAACAAGGAACATGCAGATCACGAAGGAGAAAAGTGATCCATTGTAGTTCACAAGTCATGCTAGCAACAGCTCTATATTCTGCCTCACTCGATGAACGAGAAACAGTCGGTTGTTTCTTGGAGCGCCAAGCAATCAATGAAGAACCCAGGAAAATACACAAACCCGTGATGGAACGTCTGGTATCAGGACAGCAGGCCCAGTCCGAATCAGTGAAGCCACTAAGTTGAAGGGAGTTCTGTGAAGAAAAGAACAGACCAGTAGCAGGGGACCCCTTTATGTAGCGAAGAACGCATGTTGCTGCAGCACGGTGGCTAGAGGTTGGAGCCCCAACGAACTGGCTAAGCTGTTGAACCGAAAAACAGATGTCTGGGCGTGTAGTAGTGAGGTATAAGAGACGACCAATGAGACGTCGATAGGAAGATTGATCAATGTCAGAAAGAGGGACACCATCAGTACGAGAGAGACGAAGTGGGGGAACCATAGGAGTGGAAGATGGTTTGGCACCCAAGAGACCAGCATCAGAAAGGATCTCTAATGCGTATTTGCGTTGATTAACAGCAATCCCATGTTTGTTACGAGAAATCTCAAGGCCCAGAAAGAATCTCAAGGAACCCAAATCTTTAATGCGAAACTGAGAATCCAATGCACTCTTGACCTGAAGGATTTCAGTAGCATCATTACCTGTTAAGACGATGTCATCAACATAGATAAGAAGGACAGTGAAGGAAGCAGCAGTTCGTCTAACAAAGAGTGAATAATCAGTTGTGGATTGAACATAGCCTAAAGAAAGCAGGGAAGAGGACAATTTCGAATGCCACTGGCGGCTGGCTTGTTTCAATCCATAGAGAGATTTCTTCAACTGACAGACCTTTCCAGGAGGAGCTTGAACACCAGAAGGCAAGGTCATAAAAACCTCTTTGGCTAAGTCACCATGGAGAAAAGCGTTGTTTACATCCAGTTGCTCAATCAACCAGTTTCGAGCCGCAGCAAGAGCAAGAACCAATCGAATTGTAGTCATTTTAGCAACTGGACTGAAAGTATCAAAGTAGTCCACCCCCTCCAATTGTGTGTATCCTTTAGCCACTAACTGAGCTTTGCATCTTTCAACTGAACCATCAGCTTTATACTTCACTTTATAGACCCATTTACAACCGATAGTGTGTTTTCCAGGAGGAAGATCAACAAGATCCCATGTGTGAGTTTGAGCAAGAGCAGATAATTCAGCAGCCATGGCTTCTTGCCAGCAAGGAAGCTTAGAAGCTTCAGCATATGACTTTGGCTCAAAAATGGAGATGACATTAAAACAAAAACGTTTAAAAGATGGAGAACAATGTGTGTAAGATAAGACTTGGGAAAGGGGGTAAGGAGTACCTGAAGAAGGAGGATGATCAGCTGAGACAACATGATTGTAGTGGAAATCCCTTAGATAAGATGGTCGTTTTCTTATTCTGGATGAGCAGCGGATTGGAGGGGATGATGGGGCAGGTATGGGAGTAGTAGGTGGAAGAAAATATGAAGGAACAGCTGCCTCAGCAGTATGGGTTGTGTCAGTGGTAATAGAGAAAGGGTCATCAAAGATAATAGGGGTAAGACAAGGAAGTATGGGTGCTGCAGTGTGTGTGGGATGAATGTAAGGGAAGTGCATTTCATAAAATACTACATTACGGGATAGGAACAATTTTTGGGAAGTGAGTTCTAGCAACAAATAACCTTTTGTCCCTTCTTGAAAACCAAGGAATATGCATTTTTGAGCTCTAGGTTCAAACTTAGTTCTGTGAGAGTGAATGGTGGATGCAAAACATAGACAACCAAAGGGTTTTAAATGGATAAGAGAAGGTGGCTTAGAATATAGGAGCTCATATGGAGTTTTATATGAAAGTAAAGGGGTGCATAGTCTATTAATGAGGTATACCGAATGAGCAATTGCATTGCACCAGTAGGATTTAGGTACATTAGATTGAAACAATAATGATCTAGCTAAATTCATGATATGTTGATGCTTCCTCTCAACTATCCCATTTTGTTCGGGGGTTTCAACACATGTGGTTTGGTGAAATATGCCTTTCATTTTATAGAAGGAGTGCATGAGGAATTCAGGTCCATTATCAGTTCGAATGGATTTTATGTTGGTTTGAAATTGGTTTTCATGAAATGTTACAAAATTTTGAATGGAGAGACGTGCATCTGATTTATGTTTTAGAAAAATGACCCATGTATAGCGAGTATGGTCATCAACAATTGATAAAAAATACCTATGGCCATGAACTGATGTAAAGGATGTAGGACCCCAAATGTCCATATGCAACAAGTCAAACACCTTATCTGATCTAGTAATACTTGAACAAAATGGTAATTTTCTTTGTTTGGCAAAATGACATACATCACATAGTGATACAGATTTGGATGGTATAAAAGGAAATTTAATTGACATATGTTTGAGAATAGTAGGGGAAACATGTCCTAATCTAAGGTGCCAAAGCAAGTGCTCATTATTAGGATTACTGGAACTTGAGCTGTAAACTGCAGAATCTGTAAGGAGTGGGCTTTCTGTCTTGATGACTGGTGTATGGCTTGCTGTTTTGGTGATCAATGTATGTGGCAAACAAGGGAAGTCCAGAGAGAATAAGCCTCCATGTTGTCTAGCTGTACCAATCCTCTTCTTGGTACTCAGCTGTTTTATGAAACAAGAAGAGTTAGTAAAAATGAGATAGCATTGTAAAGTGAGCATGAGTTTGTTGACTGATATGAGGTTCACATAAAAGTTGGGAACATATAATACATCAAATAAAATGAATTCAAAAGAAAATTGAACGTTTCCTGCATATGAAGCAGTAACTTTAGAACCATCAGGTAAGTTTATGAACACAGAATTGATTTTGTGAAGTGAGACAGGAAATATGTGAGGTGATGTGATCAGTTGCGCCAGTATCAAGGATCCAACGCAACTGATTACCTGGACTAGATTTGCTTGATTATGCACTTAAAGCAGAAGTGGAAATAAGGTTGGCATGGCTAGTTGGTGTAGGCACAGGATTGGAACGTAGTGGATCTGGGGAGAGTTGTAAAGCTTGAACAAGCTCATGAAATTGTTGACTAGACAAAGTCACTACTGAATGATCTAAATTTCTTTCTGCACAATTAGCACATGTTGCACCATTATCGATTTGATCATTTCTCATTCTATATCCAGGAGGGAAACCGTGTTTGAAGTAACACGTTTCTATGGTATGATTACTCATCTTACAATGAGTACAAAACCTTGAACCTCGTCCTCTACTTCTGCCTCCTCTGTTGTTAAAACTTCCTCTGCCTCGTCCTGATGAGTAATAGCTTCTACTTTCATCTGATTCACTGATAAAAGCCTTAGGTGCATTGTCAACAGGAAAACTTGAATAAAATTCACGCTCCTGTTGAGCCAGCATTGAACATACTTTGTTAACATCAGGTAGAGGATTTATCAACATGATTTGTGATCGAACTGGAGCATATTGCTCGTTCAAACCTTTCAAAAACCTGATTGTATAATCTTAATCTCTCCTAACTCGAATCTCAAGTAAGGCTGGACAGTTACATGCCATAGCACATTGACAAGTCGGTAATGGCCTTAAATTCTCCAGTTCATCACATAAACTCTTCAAATGTGTAAAATATTCGCTTACATTTTTATCTCCTTATTTCAGCTTGTAAATCTCTTCTTGCAAGTCTGAAATTCTGAAAATGTCCGCTTGGGAGAAGCGTTCCTTCAAGTCTTTCCAAGCATCCTCTGCCTTATCTATCCAGAGGATGGATTGCAGAATGGATGAGGAAATTGAGCGGTGCAGCCATGACAGTACGGTAGTGTTGCACCGTTTCCATGCATTATATGAAGGATCCATAGTTGGAGGTGGAGGCAGACTTCCATCGATGAAGCCAGTCTTGTTATTAGACAACAGTGCCATAGAAATGGCACGAGACCAGGTATGGTAGTTTCTTCCATCGAGTAATGAAGAGACTAATACCTGTGAAGGATTTTCGCTTGGATGTAGATAGTATGGATGAGATGGATTCGAGATGAAGTCAAATGCTAAGCTCTGATTCGCCATTTTTGATTCAAAGAAAAAACGAAAAAGGAGAATGAAGATTCAGAGCTTTTTGAGAAGCTCTGATACCATCTTAAGAAACAAAACTTTCTGCATATTCATATCTGTAAATGTAATTCAATCACCTTCAGCTACACCTATTACAGTATATATACTAAAGCTCATGACGAATATAAAAACTAACCGATACCTATTATTACAGGTTTAACCAATACAATTGCAGGTAACGAAACTAACTAATCTCCGTAATTAAT